CAAAATGCACCTCCAAGTCTCTGCAAGGGCTCCCACTCACCATCCCTGCTTCCCACAGATGGGAACATCGAGTCCTTGACATCCTCCCTCTCTCTTGGGCTTTTTTTAATTAATTTTGCATTTTTAAAATGAAAATTACTTGTGACAAGGGGAAGATCTGATGTTTGAAGAAGGAAGAGGTGAGGCCCAGGGTCTGGAGCCCATGGGCTGAGGGTGATTCCTGTTTAGCCTGAGGTGGAGGACCTGTAGGTCTGCATGGAGTATGACATTTCCAGTGTGTTCCCTAAAATCACCACAGAATCACACAATGGTTTGGGTTGGAAGGGGCCTAAAAACTCATCCAGTTCCACACCCTGCCATGGCAGGGAAACTTTCCACTATCCCAGGCTGCTCCAAGCCCCATCCAACCTGGCCTTGGGCACTTCCAGGGATCCAGGGGCAGCCACAGCTTCCCCAGGAAACTTTTTCCAGGACCTCACCACCCTCACAGCCAAGACTTTATTCCTAATATCCAATCTAAAACTATTCTCTCTCAGTTCGAAGCCATTCCCCCTCACCCTGTTGATGCCTCAGATTTTAGCTTTTCTATTTTCAGATTCTGTGCTGCTTTAGTGTGTGGGTCTGAGCTTCACATCAGGGCATGGTGAGCTCTGTGCACAGAGCAGGGAGACAAAACAATTCCTGCTCCAGCTGGGCACCAAGGACAAATGATCCAAATCTCAGCCCAAGAGCACAAACCCCGTGGGCTGGAGAGAGAAAAACAAGCAGGATGGGAGTGCAGGGGCTGAGCTGGAATTGGACACTGAACTGCAATGTGCACATGGAGCAGAGCTGATCCCAGGGAGAGACCCCGTGAGCGCTCGTGCATTTTGGGACCATTTGGGTTCATCTTGGCTGCAGCCCTGGCTGGGCTCTTGTGCTGCCCAAGGTGGATCCATGGAGGAGATCCTTTGAATAAATTCCTGTTTTATTCTTTAGCTCTGTCCAGTCTCTGTTCCAGGTCAGCCTGCACAAGGCATCACTATCTCTCCAGGCTCTTGAAAAGTCTCTCTCCATGGTTCCTGTAGCTCCTCCAGGCCCTGGGAGGCCACAGTGAGATCACCCTGGAGCTTCTCCCCTCCAGGCTGAACAATCCCAGTCCTGGGTGCCAAACAGGGATGCCACCTGGGGAGCAGCAGCTGCTCTGTGCCAGTGACACCAGGTGACACCAGCACCTCACGGGGATACCCCTGGGCAGCCTCGATCATGGTACACCATGGGGACTGATCTGTCCTTTCAGGGATAGACAGTGGGAATAAGGGAAATGAAGGAACAATCTATTATTTTAGTACATAAAATTGACATTGCTTCACAAAGTTTGTTTTTAAAAATCTCTCTTTATGCTGAAACGTGTCCCTCTCAATGGAATGGGTTCGTTCTCATTCTTTCTCAAATCTCCTGCTTCTGAAGGCCCACAAAGCTCTGCTGAGTGATTCACCTCACATTACCAAGAGCCAGGTGTTTCTTCTGGAAGTGCAGCAATCCTCACCCTCCCCCCTTCAGAAGGACCTTCTCAAACCTCCTCATGGTTTTTTGATGGCTTGTGCAGGCTGCCCTGGAGCAGAGACTGGACAGAGCTAAAGAATAAAACAGGAATTTATTCAAAGGATCTCCTCCATGGATCCACCTTGGGCAGCACAAGAACCCAGCCAGGACTGCACCCAAGATGAACCCAAATGGTCCCAAAATGCACGAGCGCTCCCGGGGTCTCTCCCTGGGATCAGCTCTGCTCCATGTGCACATTGCAGTTCAGTGTCCAATTCCAGCTCAGCCCCTGCACTCCCATCCTGCTTGTTTTTCTCTCTGCAGCCCACGGGGTTTGTGCTCTTGGGCTGAGATTTGGATCATTTGTCCTTGGTGCCCAGCTGGAGCAGGAATTGTTTTGTCTCCCTGCTCTGTGCACAGAGCTCACCATGCCCTGATGTGAAGCTCAGACCCACACACTAAAGCAGCACAGAATCTGAAAAATATAAAAGCTAAACCTGAGGCATCATTTTCATTTGCCAAAATTCATTGGGGTAAAGTTATGTGGATATTGCCCAAGTGGGTGGCCAAGGCACCAAGGAGAGGGGAAGGACCTTCCTCATCCTCCCTCACAGCGTACACCATGAGCTGGAAGAAAAAGCAACCCCAAGAGGGAGGGCAGCCCCTTCCTGTCTGCAGGAATTAATTAAAGAATTTTGCAGCCTGAGGCCAGGACTGGGACATAATGGCAGAGTGGGAGCTACAAGTGTTCACAAGCTGTGTTGAGCTCAGAAGTCTCCGTGCCAGAATCACAAAATCCTTAAGGTTGGAAAAGAGCTCCAAAATCAAGTCCAACCATTACCCCAACACTGTTCACCACAAACCTTGTCCCCAGGTGCCACATCCACCCATTTTTTGAGTGCTTCCAGGGATGGGGATTCCACCACTGCTCTGGGCAGCCTCTTCCAATGCCTTACCACCCTTTCCATGAAGAATTGTTTTCTGATATCAAATCCAAACCTCCCCTGGCCCAGCCTGAGGCCGTTCCCTCTCCTCCTGTCCCTGTTCCCTGGAGCAGAGCCCGATCCCCTGGCTGTCCCCTCCTGGCAGGAGCTGTGCAGAGCCACAAGGTCCCCCCTGAGCCTCCTTTTCTCCAGGCTGAGCCCCTTCCCAGCTCCCTCAGCCTCTCCTGGTGCTCCAACCCCTTCCCAGCTCCGTTCCCTTCCCTGGACACGCTCCAACCCCTCAGTGTTTCTGTGCTGAGGGGCCCAACAGTGCACACACAATTCCAGGTGCAAAGTCAGAGAATCCTTGGGATAAGAACATCACTTTCCCTGGGCTGCACCCCGTTCCTGCAAGGACAGATGTGGCTCACACTGCAGTTGCAGGAGCAATGGGATGCCAGCTAGCAGCTTGGTGACCTTATCAATCCCTAACAACTTCCTGAAGGGTGGTTGTAATCAGATGGGGTTGGGCTCTTTCTCCAGGCAGTAACTGGCAGAATGAGAGATCAGAGTCTCAAGCTACACCAAGGGAAATATAGACTGGATATTAAGAAAAACTTTTTCACAGAAAGGGTGATAAAGCTCTGGAATGGCTGCCCGGGGAGGTGGTGCAATCCCCATCCCTGGGTGTGTTTAACAAAGCCTGGATGTGGCACTGGGGGCCAGGGTTCAGTTGAGTTGTTGGGGCTGGGTTGGACTTGATGATCTTGAAGGTCTCTTCCAACCTGGAGATTCTGTGATTCCTTGTGTGACTGGAAGGTGCCACAAGAGTGGCCATTCCCAGGCTCTCTCAGAGACTGCCCAGCTGGTGCTGAGTGCTGCAGCGTGGGTGATGCTGGCATGTGCGGGCTATGAGGATCCAAGAGAAAGGAACAACAGAGAGGACACTTGTGTGGATACCAGGGAGGCTTTATTCCTCAGTGGGAGCAGGAACAAGGGCCAAGGAAAAAGGGTCCAGACAGCTCTTGTGGTGGTTCCAGTTGTTGGTTTCCCTGGCTCTGCACTGAAGGCACTTGAGGCAGTATTTCATGTTCACACTCAGGTGTTTATTATTCCTTATCAGTAAAACAGTCTCACTACTGTGAGTTCAGATTTTCATCAGAAGGCACAAAATGGCCACAATCTCTTCTTCCAAGGTCTTTGAGACTAAACTATCCAATTAAGAACTGACACCTAGATTATTTTCCCTTTTAACCCAATAACTGATCCCAAAGAGCCCCAATGTGGACTTTTCTGCCGAGTCACAAAATGCCTCCCAAACCCATGAAGAAGAAGGAAGAAGAAGCATGAAGAAGAAACCCAGGACAACACCCTGTGCCCTCCATCTTGCTTCCATCCACAACATACTAAAAATCCCCAAACCTAAATGTCTCACCAAGTGACACACCTACACTGCTCTCCATAATCTATTTCACACTTTTGTGGGTTCTGGTCCATCTTGAAGTCCAGGAAACTTTCTCCATGAATGAGGGTCAGAGTCAGTGCTGTCCTGGGGGTCAGGGCACCCCAGAGCAGACACAGAAATATTCCCAGTTCCCTGGAAAAGGCTCGCATAAAAGGAGTGGGTGTAAGGGGTGGAAACACAAAGCAACCAAAAGGGGAAAGCAAGGGGAGGAGTAGAGGACCTGACAGAACCAGTAGGGACCACACAGAGGAGGGAAGAAGCCCCAGAGACAAATAATCTGCTAAAGAGGGGACAATTAACACAGAATTTTCTCAAAGAAGGTAGGGGTGGTTATAGTGACTGACAGGGAAGGTGGGCAGTGCAGCTGGGATTGACGTGGCCATTAAGGACATGAGGGGAGGGACAGGGGGACTGTCATCATGACAGACAGCCAAGTGGTGGGAAAAGTAGGGAGTAAACAATTTAAGGGGAAGCAATTCTGAGGGGATGAAATGGGGGTACAAAAGATCAAACAATTTCTCTAAGAGAGTGTAGCTATCTTTTGTAATAGAAACAACAGTGAAACTTGTAAAAACACACAATGCCACAGACAGATACACAGCAGAAATATCAGTTAATCCCAAATTAATGCAAATCCCTTCTTTGTGCATCCACCACACACAAATTTATTACCTTCATTAAAAACCCTCCCCAAACCTGCCACAGGCCCTCTGATTTCACTCATGCAATCCCATCCACTTCCCAGGGATTACATGGATGTGATAAAATTCAGGCCTGGGTCCCTTTAATTGTTCAGATGATTTGTAAGCAGTTTTAATGTACCAGGTGGAAAATCATTTCTGTTTCTGCACCACCTAAAAAATAATGATTTACAAGGATGTGAAGCAGGGGTGGGGCACGCAGAACTTGATCTCCTCCTGATTTAAATCCCAGGCCATGTTCCATTTGGGAATGACAGCAGATGGGATTCCAGGGTGCAGCCCAAGGTCATCCAAACACGGTGCTCTGCTCTGAGTGGGATCATCAGGAACCACGCAAAGCCAGAATAGAAATTTAATCCTCTGCCACAGACCCAGGGATCCTCGGGAAGAGCACAGGGAATGCTCCTTCCCCTCGAGTTCAAGGACAAATAGCCCTTGTTTGGAAGTGATGGAGTGGGAAGGGAATCTTCCTGGCACAGAGACAGTGCAGGGTAAGTGTGTTTATGCTGTGGCTTTGTACATCTGTGATTTATAAGTAGTTGTTGGAGAGGCAGATGGTTCATTTAATGTTGTCTTATTTGAGACAAGGCACTCACCTGCAACTGGAGACAGATCCACTCCTCAATATCCTGTGGATAACCCATTCCCAAAACAACCACAGACCTGCACACCAAACCTTGCTTAGAACCATTCTTTTTTTCTTTTGGATGAAATCACTCCTAATTGAGCACTAATTGCACTTCACTGCAGGATTTCAGACCTGTTTCGATCCTGAGCAGTCCATGCCTGGGTGTCACCACTCTATTTTTACCCAGCACTGCTCCAGCCCTGCCTCCACAGCCAGCTCAAGGTGACAGCGTGACCTCCGCAGCAGCAGCACCTGAGAGCAGCCCTGGGATCCCCAGGATTGACTCCTGCAGGGAACACAGCTCTGGAAGCATCAAAAACATGAAAGAAAGGTTGGTGACTACTTGTAACACCCTGTTGGGGAGGGGATACTGCCCCTTCACCCCACCCTGCAGTGCTGGGTCCAGCTCTGGGGTCACTGTACAGGAGGGACCTGGAGCTGCAGGAATGAATCCAGAGGAGGCCATGGGGATGTTCCAAGGGCTGGGAGAGCTGGGAATGTTCACCTGGAGAAGAGAAGCCTCCAGCAAGAGCTCAGAGCCCTTCCAGGGCCTGAAGGGGCTCCAGGAGAGCAGGGACAGGACACAAAATTGCTTCAAACTGAAAGAGGACTGGGTTAGATGAGACAATGGGAATAAATTCCCAATTTTCTCTGCAATAGCACGGGGTGCCCATAGAAGCTGTGGCTGCCCCTGGATTCCTGGAAGTGTCCAAAACCAGGCTGGACAGGGCTTGGAGCAGCCTGGGACAAGGGAAGTTGTCCCTGCCCATGGCAGGAGTGGCACTGGATGAGCTTTAATGTCCCTTTCAAGGTCCCTTCCAACCAAGTCATTCCATGACAAGCTGGTTTATGCTGCCCTGAGACACAAGAGCTTGTCCAACACTTTTATCCGCTCTGTGGTGGTGCCACTCCCCCTCCAAGGTCAGGCAGTGCCAGGTTATCCAGATCACACTGAAATCCTCAGCAAACACCAAGGAATCACCTCCCCTCATCCCCCTCTCCTCATGCCAAAGGCAGTATTTCCACTGAAATCCAGTTTCTGGGGAACAGAAGGTCTGAAATCCTAATGGATCAGCCTGCAAGCCACCACGTGTGCTGCCCTGGGCTAACAGCACATTTCCAATATGCTGAGGAAATCAGCTGGGAATGTGTATTTAGGAAAGGAGATTTAGCAGAGTGGATTAGCTCAGCCCATTCCCAGATTTCCGTGGAGATCCGTTAAGTGTTTCTTTTCATGAAGGAGAGGAACCTTTTATAGATCTAGAGGAAATGGTGAGACCTCAAATCACTTGGAAATTTCAAAATATTTGCTCCTCCAATGACTATTATGTAAACCCAGAGTCCTGCTGAGGAATAGTTCCCCTATGTAGGTCAAGAAAAGGAAAAGCAAATTTGTGTCTGAGTCTTGCAAGGGACAAAAGTGGATTCTGAAAGTGTATTTTTAATTTTCCTGCCCGTTTCCTTCAAGCAGCACCACAAATTTTTCCAGATGCAGAGAAAATAGCATATGCAGATATGTACAAAAGTTTATTTTACAAACAGCAACTACTTTGGAATAACAAAATTGCAAAAACATAGAGCAGCGTTAGAAAACCAGCTCAGGGGGACATTTTCCATCTGAAACACATTTTAACAGACTTCACTAAGTAAAAATACCCCCAACCCTTCCCTCAACCTCTCCCCAACCATTGTCTACCTGATGGAATTTCTTTATAAACCTTTGACTAAAGATATGAAAGATTGTAGTGACAGAGCAGTAATTTTTGATAACTACAGTTAACTGTTTGATCATATTTCCATTACCTTTTCCTGGCCTTAAAAAAAGTCAAATCAGATCTAAAATATGATAAAAATCTGATCCTGGAGCAGCATTTTCACTAATAGGTATTGAATAGTAATGGTTGTATTTGTGTATTTTGTAACACCATGAACCCTCTAGTTCTATTTTCTTAGTAAGGGAAAAAAACCAAGATACAGTTGTACTGAAAATGATGAAACTACAACAAATATCACTGAAATATTTGTTGAGGACTCCGAGATGGCTGCTGCTGTTAGAAACATGTTTGTAAATGTATCCTGACTTGGGTATTAAATGTATTTAATGCTAAAAAGCATCAGAAGTTTACCAAAAGGTGGAAAGGTTGCGTGCACACGCTTTGTGACTAAACTCTTAAGTGTAGGAAAAGGGTAAGAGCAGAGTTTTGGGTACTTCTAGAAAAGTGAAAAACCTCCATGGCCAATTGATGTGGCTGGACAGAAATGGAGGGAATCGTCACCATCTCCCTTTGAACTTGCTTTTCATAAGTGTACCAAAAAAAAAAAAAATCATCAAATTTTGGGGAGCTTAATTCAATCAAAGAGAGAAGGAATTGATGCCTCAGCGAGAAATTGCCGCTTTTAATTGTCAAAGCTACTGGGTCCTGATGAGATTAAGAAAACTAATTTCCAGTATTTGAAAATGAGCAAATGAAAGCATCTCCAGCCATTACAGAAAGTCAGCAATGGAAACTGTTATGGTACAGCAGTGTCATTAGCTCTAATCAAACCACGTCGGCTTTGTCACCACAGACCCCAATTTTCAGGTGACATTATGCCATTAAAAAAATCTGGTTCTCATTACATAACTTTCTAAATCCCCCCAAAAAAACTTTACAGATTATTTTAAATCAACTGAATCAGAATATTGCAAGAATTACTCAATGATCTTCAGCTTGACTCTATTTTTTTTTTTTTTTGCAAGCCATTTGCCTGTAACTTAAGAATAATTTTTGGTACTAAACTTTACTTTGAAGGCATTGTTCATGCTTTTTATGAGGCATCCCAGTATTTTCCAAGTCCTGCTTTAACAAGATATAGTTCAATATCTGCAATGTCAGTATCTGATATTCCCTATGGTGAATGGGATACAGAGCTTTTATAGAGGAACCTTTATGGCTGCTTTTCTCAAAAAATTATCATCATGTCAGTGTTTGAAAGAGTGCTTTGGACAAACTCATGGTTTGGATACACTCATGGTTTACAACACTCAAAATGTATTGAAGGATGCCAAGCACTGTAATAGGAACTAAAATCAAAGTCAGGAAGCGTTTGGAAACACATTTTTAGTCTCTGAAGGACATTGCTGTTTATCACAAAATTCCTCTTTTAAACATAAAAAGTTTAGACAAGTTGGGTATTAAGCTCCAAACTCATTCATCACACTTTTGCTCACTGCTTGTCAGTTTGACAATTCCCACTGGGCATCAGCTCGTCTTTTCCAGCAGAATTCCAGAACACCACAGTTCAGGAGGGATTAAGACAGAGTGGCAGGCTTTGTTTTCCTCACCTATATCCTCTATAGAATGCAATAATCAACAACCAAGACAGAATGAAAACAGCTTTCAGCAATAAAAAAGCATTTTTATCAACTAGAAATGGCAGCCTTTTTAAGAAATTGACTTCACAGTTTAATAGTTGCTAGCACATCTTTCCTAAGGTGTTTATAAACAGACTTGAAGACAGTCCTGACTGCTGCACCCAAAAAGTGGCAGCAGCAATTCACCTAAGTGTAATACATGGCTTGGAAAAGCTGATTCAAGGAAACCAAACTGGGTTTTTTTTATTATTATTTTGTAAAAGTTGCATTTGACATAAAAAAAATAAAAAATAACATCAGCTGTCGAGCTCAGTCCTTCTCTCTGTAAGCAGAGTTGAGTTCACTGTTAAATGGCAAGGTTTCAGCTAATTCAGCAAACAGCCTTCACTTGTGACACTGTCAGAAGAGTTTTTTTGAATATAACACTGAAAAAATTCTGGAACAGAGTTTCCATCCTCAAAGGAACGTTCTCAGCTGTATCTGCTGCTCTCACTGGGGCTCCTGTTGTTGGAGTAGCTTCGGTCGCTGTCGCTGTCGGAGCCGTAGGATCTGCAAGGAGAAAAAAAGATTTAAATGCCCCAAAGCTGCAGTTTGAGCTTCAAATGTAAAATTTCATCATGTCAAGGAATTGTTACAGATAAGAAAACACACTAGTCTTTTACAGGATTGTATTTCTTGTAAGTGGAGGATTCATTCAAGGTTACTCAAAATGGAAATAATCATGAAATTGAAATGATGAAAACTTGGTGTAACTCAAGTCCAACTTAACTTCTTGCTCTCTCTGTTACAGCTAAAAAACATCCAAAATTAATGTTTTTACAAAAGCTAATTGAGCTGAGTGAGAAGTGTATTCTAATAAGTGGAATTTTACACTGCAAGCATTTCTCAACTAGGATAATTTCACAAATCCTTGATTTATATATTTCATTTTCTTGTTTGAAGGAGGGTCTTAAAACTTAGGCCCCATAACCACAACAGAGGTATGTTTGTGTGTCTGCAGCGTGGAAATTGTATTTAAAATGTTTTGGCTCCTCCAGACAAATTCCAAGCTCAGCACCTGGCCAAATGTCAACACAGAGCCCAGATGGTTTCAGACAAGCCACAGGACACGTTCAAATTACACAGAACAAGCTTTCAGAGATTTTCCAGCCTCCTGCCTGTAAGGGAAGCTTTCTAAGTGAAAGGTGAGCATTTCCTAATCCTACACTGAAGCTCCTCAACATAACAAAGCAATGGTTTTTAAGGTTATTTCCACATTCTTCATTAGATCTCGTTCATTTTCCCTCCAACACAAGATGAATGTTGTCTTGTGCAAATGGGTGAGAGCAAAGTCCATTCAGAGTTGGTATAAAGCTGTGAAAAATTTCATATGAGGAGAGGATGAAAATGTACAGTAGTCTTAGAAACCTGATTTATTACTAATAGGAGGCATATTAAAAGGTATAAAACAAATCATCAGTGATATTAAATGTATCTACAACTCTCCATATCTCTGATCTCTGTGAAATGGGCTCACTTACACGTATATAAATCCTCTGGACTGAGGAGAATAAATTTTATTCTAAACTCAGCAAATTTGCAGGTAACAATATTCTTTCAAAATACATTCTACGAATTTTAAAATTAAATCTGGATTGCAGCAAAACTTTTAGTTTCCCTTCCAGATTGTTTTAGATCCACCTCTGCAGCATAACCAAAAAGAATTTACCATACAGTGGAATTCTTTGCATACCAGGCAGCTTTTAATCCATAACAGAGCACTTGAATTAAATCTTGAGAGCTATGTGGGTTTTAAGAAACACTTGATATTGTTAAAAAAATAGAATTAATCAAATAATAGAATCATTAGGGTTGGCAAAGACCTTTGAGGTCACCAAGCAAACCCAGCCCCACTGTCTTCACTATTAAACCGTGTCCTCAATGCCATTTCCACAAGTTCTTAACACTTCCAGGGATGGGAACTTCATCTTTTCCATGGGAAAAAGGTGCTTATTTTGAAAGCATGGACACAATGAAATGGAAATCAACTTTTCCTTATCCTGGCTGCCTCCCCATCCTCCTATTTGGAATGTCTTAACTTCCGACTTCTTCGCTCACGCTCTGATTTTAATTAGAATTTGGTTTGAATTATTACTTTTGCTGAGTGTATTTCTTATTCTTATGGGGAAAAAGCAGCAGCCTGGCCTTGTTAAACATCCTGTGTTTGTGTTCAGCAAATCCTTGTGCACCCAAGCAGGGTCAGACCCACCTGGATCTCCGGTCGTAGCTCCGAGATCTCCGGTAGCTGTCGCTCCTCTTGCTCCTGCTCCGGCTCCTGCTGTAGTAACTGTCATAGGTGTAGGACCTGCTTTAAAGGGGGGAAAAAAGTAATACTGAATTCATGATTTCTGGTCTAAAATGCTGTTTTAAATGACATTTATATAGAGATATGAGGGGATGTATAGAAATTATTGTCAAGGATGCGGCAAAGAATTCTACACTTTACAAAGGTCTCAACACAACAACAATCTTCAACAGTAAAATCTCAAATTTTATCAGGAAGGACATACTAAGCATTTCTAAAGCTCTGTGCTGTCCCTTTTATTTTTCCCAGTAAAATTCTTGTTTGCTGATACTTCTGAAAGCAAGCCAAGCGAGTCCATTTATAACTCAATATTATTTAAAAAAACAAAAGCAAATGTGTTCACTACTACTTTTAGCATTGCCTACAACTGTAATGCCAGGATGGTTTGGTTATTTTCAGCTTTTGAAAGTGTCTTGTGCTCATTCTGCTTTGATTCAAGTTGCCATCATGATATTGTAATAATAGTTTTAAGTACTACTGGTCCCTGGAAGTGTCCAAGGCCAGGCTGGATGGGGCTTGGAGCACCCTGGTCTAGGGGAGGGTGCCCCTGCCCATGGCAGGATCATCTTTAAGGTCCTGTCTAACCCAAACCATTCTGGGATTCTATGAGATAAAAGTAATCCTAAAAAGCATTTCTATAAATAAATATGTATTTAGATATGCATTTGTATTACAGTATGTACAAAAAAATAAGTAGTATATACAATATATAATATATCATAGACAGTAATTATAAAGTCTGTTTTAAAGAAATGTAAATAAAGGTAGACTTATACTAAGATGATTTGATGGGCAGCACATTTCTTGCAGAGTTTGTATAAAAGGACAATCTGATGCCTCAGGTTTTAGCTTTCATATTTTTCAGATTCTGTGCTGCTTTTGTGTGTAGTTCTGAGCTTCACATCAGGGCATGGTGAGCTCTGTGCACAGAGCAGGGAGACAAAACAATTCCTGCTCCAGCTGGGCACCAAGGACAAATGATCCAAATCTCAGCCCAGGAGCACAAACCCCGTGGGCTGGAGAGAGAAAAACAAGCAGGATGGGAGTGCAGGGGCTGAGCTGGAATTAGACGATGAACTGCAATGTGCACATGGAGCAGAGCTGATCCCAGGGAGAGACCCTTGCATTTTGGGACCATTTTGGGTTGTGCTGCCCAAGGTGGATCTGTTGAGGCCTTTGAATAAATCCCTACTTTATTCTTTAGCTCCATCTAGTCTCCGTTCTAGGTCAGCCTGCACAAGGCATCAAATCCATACCTGGATCGACTGTGGTGACCATAGGAACTGCTCCTGGATCGGCTCCTGCTGTAGCTCCGACTGACAAAATCAAAACCACAGAGGGGTTTTTAGTCAACAGAAACCAAAAGTGCTGAAGAGGGCAGGGGGAGAGAGGGAACAAGAGGAGGAGAACACATTTGGCACTGTTTCCAGCTGGGTGAACTCACCTACGGCTCTTGTAACTGTGGTAGGAGCTACTCCGGCTCCTGGAGCGATCTCGGCTGTACCAGCCCCGGCTCCGGCTCCTCGAGTAGCTCCTGGACCTACAACCAAGGACACCAAGAGAGAACACAGCTGAGGAGAAGAGCAGCAGAAAATGGGAACCAGAAGAAGTTATGAATCTTTAGCTTGCTAGCTAAATATTTATTGCACACTTGCTGGGTGATATGGCCACTGAGTTAATCCAAGGGCTGGAGCTCCTCTGCTCTGGAGCCAGGCTGGGAGAGCTGGGAATGCTCACCAGAGAAGGGAAGACTCCAGGGAGACCTCAGAGCCCCTTACAGGGCCTAAAGGGGCTCCAGAAGAGCTGGAGATGGACTTGAGACAAGGGATGAGGGGACAGGAGAAGGAGGTCACTTCACACTGACACAGGTTGCCCAGAGAAGCCGTGGCTGTCCCTGGATTCCTGGAAGTGTCCAAAACCACGTTGGACGGGACTTGGAGCACCCTGGGATAGCGGAAGGTGTCCCTGCCCATGGCAGGGGGGTTGGAACTGGATGGGCTTTAAGGTCCCTCCCAACCCAAACCACTCTGTGGTTCTGTAACACAGGGCCGTTAAAAAACAAAAAACACAACCTGAAAAGCATTCTTTGAAAACACAAGAACATACAGTTTACCAGAGCTGGCTGTGGGAGCAGCACACGCTTCTCACCTGTATGAATAGGTAGAACTTCGGGATCGGCTTCTCGAGTGACTGTAGGATATGGACCTCGTTCTGTGTCTGGATTTAGACTCAGATTTACTTCGTGACCTGCTGAGACTCCTGGAAGGGCTGTTGTCATCTCTGCTTGGAGATTCCTCCTCACTGGAACTTTCTTGGTTCCTTGGCCGACGATTTAGCCGGGCTGTTTTCCTCACTTCATCAAAGAGAGACCCAGGTCTTACTTTATTTTTTGCTTTTATTTCAATTCTTAAACCTGCTGGTTTAGGCTCCGGTGCCGATGCTACATTTTTAACCTCCGTGGTTGTACTAATTGTTGTTGGTTTTAAGTTACCAACACCTTGCAAAGGCTTCCATTTATTGTCTATCATATTGCTTGAAGCATTTTCAGAAATTTCACTTTTTAAACTACAGTCTTTAGCACCAGACACAGGGGCAGAGTTATTTTCTTGCCTTCCAGTTTCTTTTTCTTCTTTAATATTAATAAAGTCTCTTATGCTGTTTCCCAGTTTGACAGCATCTTGCTCAGGTGTCTCAACCTGTAACTCTTTTTTTACAGCAGCACTTAAAGGTTTAGCAGTGAGAATGACAGGAGACAAAACATCCACATCCACCTTCCCTGGCGAGTTACGATCCGGAGTACAAATCTCCATGTTGTCATCTGTCTGAATAACATCTTCCAGCCCATTCTGGTTATTTTCTTCAGCTTGTTTAATCTCACTCTTGCAAGCAGCCACGTTTATTCCTGAGTTTAAAATACCAGTTGAAGTGCTTGTTTCAATGGGCTCTTTATTAAGGTTGCTGTGATCTGGCGAGGCCCCACATGAGGTGTTTTTATCTAAAAGGTTTTCATTCACACACGACTTTTCACCATTTCCCATTTTATCTGTGACTATTTCATCCTTTTCATAAACTTGTTTTTTATCCTTTATGTCCCTGCTAAGCTGCTTTTCTTTTTTATCATCCTTGGTAACTGGCTTTTCATTTATCTCATCATCCTCTTCTTCCCCGAACTCAAGGGGGGGCTGCCAATGAAACATTTCTTTTCTTTTCTGGACTTTGTGTTTTTTGTCCTTTTTGCCTTTCGACTTTTCTTTTGCTTTTTTGGAATGTGATTTTTTAGGAGTCTTTTTCAACCCATGTTTGTGTTTTTTCAACTTGCCTCGAGTGTCTGCTGAGCTGGAACAAGAACTCTCAGATTCAGAAGTTGACAAGTGTTTGCTTGTCTTCCACACACAGTCAGAACCCAAAAAGCCCTCTGAGGAATTGGATTGTTTTTTTATCCTTTTGGTAACACTAAGCTCTGTGTCAGACCCTGAGGTGGCCTCTCCTTCTTCTTTCCCAGAGGAGGGTCTGGAATCCCCTCTATTATGCTTTGCCTCTCCTCTTTCAGAGTTTGACTCCGAGTCCCATTTGCTACCTGAGTAGGATTTGCGTTTTGTTTTTGCACCACCTCTGGGCTGCTCTGAGCATTTCTCCTTAGCAGCTTTCTTTTTGGAGTGATCAGAATCCCGCTCACCCTTGGCTTTCTCCTCCCCTCTCTCAGAACTTAAGCTATTTTTATCCTGTTTCTCAGCATCCCCTTCTAACAGAAAGCGGCCTTCTTTTTCTTGGACCGGTTTGGCAGAGCGCTCGCTGTCGGAAGATAAGTCTGAGGATGACAAACTGTCACTCTCCTTCAACCCTTGGGAAGACTCATCGTAGTCCTTTGGATGCTTGTAAGGCAACGTGCTATCTGAGCTCGTTTCCTGCCTCAGTTTGAGGCCCCGAGCTTTGGGATCGCTGGATGTGGGTTTCCTTTTGTTCCTGTGCCTGTCCTCGTCGCTGAGGGAATAGTCGGACGTGGACTCGCTGTACCCCGACCTGTCACTGCGGTATTTACTCGGGGACGGTGACCTGCCAGAGGAAGGAGATTTTGTCCTCGAGCTCGATGGGCTCCTAGACCTTGAGTAAGATCTTGAGTAGGAGTGGCTTCGAGAGGACCTGCTCCTGGACCTCGGCCAGCTCTCCGAGCTCCTGTCGCTGCGGCCTTTGGAATAACCGCTCCGATCGCTCTCGGAGCTCCTCTCCTGCTTGCGGTACGAGGAAGAAGTGTTGGCCTCCTTAACGACCACTAAATTGTAATTAGTTTGGGTGGGAATTAAGTGGGTTGTTTTAGCTTTCATCTCCTGAATTCGCTCATACGATGGCTTCCAAGGTTTCTGCCCAGGTTTCCACCTTGAAGGTGGGGGACTGTCACTTAAGGGTATGACAGGGAGGCTTTCTGGGACAACTGGTGGCACGATAACCTTGTCACTGGGCAGTATCACTGCTCGGACAGGCTCAGCAGTCTTGGTCAGCTTAGTGTCATTTAACCGTGCTGAAATATTTCTTGGAGAACTGGGAACAGTCTTTTGCTGCCTGGGGTTAGAACTTGACCGCGACCTACTTCGAGATCGCGATGATTTGGAGGCTGATCTTGATCTAGAACTTCTTCTGGAGTAAGATCTTGATTTAGACCGAGACCTGGATCTGGACCTGTAGTACGACCGAGACCCTCTGCTGGATAAAGATGACAAGCTCTGGTCTTCCTTATCAGATTTAGACCAGTCTCTCCTGGATGAACGCCTGGAAGACAATGAGGAAGAACGAGATTTCCTCTCACGATCACAAGATGGTTTTGTCCTCCTGTGGAAGGAATGAGAGGATTCTACATCTGATGAGGCTGATGTTTTCTTTTTCTTTGTTTGCTTGT